TTGTGAAAGATTGTGTGCTGAAGATGGTGGATAACATTTGCCCTGAAAAGAAGCAGGAGTTTAAAAATGTGTGCCTTGCTCGCAACAAGATGGCACTGGGAATTGATGTCCTCAGACGTCAAGAGACAAGTCAGCAGTAGGGCTGTCAAAAGCACCATGAAATTGAGTTTGAATATTTTCGAATTAATTTAGTAGAGTTCGAATAATATTCAAATTTATTATTATTATTTATTTATTTATTTTTTTTTACAAAAAAAACACAAAAAATAAGATGCTTATTGCTGGCGCAGTATGAACCTGACACTCAAACACCCGTTCTGACCTCACTGAAGTGTCAGGTATGACCAACTTCTGCCTTGCTATCTGAGCAATGTTTGGATACTTCAGTGCGTAGTTTTTCACCACAAGAGTGGATCCTGGTCAGCTCGTAGTGGTGTCTCATTCTGGTAACGTTTCATCTTTTCTTCAAAAAGGGTAGGCAGGGAGGCAGCAGGTGCAACACTCTCCCTGTATGTCTCCCCAAACAGGTCACACAACGTACATGTGTGAACAGGCCTTCTCTGTTATGAACTTGAACAAGAACTGCTTGAGGTCCTGATTAACTTATTAACCCATCTACGTGACATTTTACGCATCACAACCACAGCTCTCAAACCAGACCTGACATGTCTGCTGCAGTCGAGATCCCAGTTTCACCCAACTCATTAGTCCCAGTGAGTTGCCTGTCTCAGATGGTCATCAAATTAACTAAACTTTAAAACTGGATTCCTAACTGCTAGTTTATAGCCTAACTGTTGAGAAATACTTGCTGTGTTATTGATGAGCCCTTATGAGATGTGAGATCAATGACATGTGTTGTATTGTTTTTATTGATAACTGGAGGTTTTATATTTCGTGTTGATATTTCAGTTAACAGTTCAGTGCACCTGAACTTTTGGCACTTCTAAAATTGAACTTCGAACGACTGTTTGCTGTGTTTTTGAACTTATTGAAGACCTGTGTAAGTTATGGGGTAGTTATGTTAAAGGAGGCTACTGCATACACTTCTAATTTAAATTGTAAATATTCTTATTATTGTATTATTATAATTGATTTTATTGTGACACAATAACATTAATGATAATAATAATAATAATAATAGTAGTAGAATATTCACAATTTATTGTGTTGTTTTCTCTGATAGGTTTCTTATTTCATGTTGATGTTTCATAATTCATGTCAGAGTGCTGTGCCTTTGCAGATGTGCAAGAAAGGCTTTTTTTGTTATTAATTATTGATAGCCTATTGAACTATTGATTTAAGGGCTAACATTGCACTGAAAACAAAATCGTTAGTCGAGTAAACTGATTTAATCGAAAAGGTTTCGCGAGTATTGGTTCTCATGACATCACTACACGCGACACTGATTGACAGCAGAGACGCCGCTGTGGAGACAACAAACAATGCTTGCTACTGTAAGTAAGTGCAGTAGAACCTTAGTGAGTAAAAGCCAATACTTAATCAGTAACGTCACCCCTGTTCAAAAAGCATAATCATGTAGAAAGTAATATTTTAATCTGCTCTTTCCACAGTCTCTTATTCACTGTTTTACACAAACATATTGCGCCTGCTCAGCTAACAGCAAATTGGTATAAACAAGCTAAAATGAAGGCCATCTGTATGTAGTAAAGCTGTTAAGCTTAGTTTGCCACTAGACTTGCACCGATTAATAGGCAGTGCTTGGAATCGGGCCGGTTTTCACGTGATCGGCCATGACCGGCTGGTCAGTCTAAAATATGCTGATTTAAAACGCCAGTCAAATTACCGCTGTGCCGCATGATTGACATTGTGTAACATCAGCAGCACACACACACACGCACATGTGCAACTCACGGCTTGTGCGATGTGAGGAAGTGAAACATGGGCGGCTTCTCACCTTAATCATTCACGCACACACATCAAAAAAAGAGAAGGAGAAAGTTGCTAATTGTCCGTGTTAAACTTAAAGGAGCTATATGTAAGAAATCTAAAGCAAATAGTCGTAAAATCATCCTAATATGTCACAGAGACTCAGGAATAATGTTAATATTACATACTGATCTCACCAACAACAATAGTATAGCCAGAATATTCGCATTAAAAAAAAAAAAATTACGGTCCGCAAATCATGTTTATGTTTTGAATTTGTGTTTTGGCCTGTTGCGCCACCCACCACCGTCTACCAGTCACACAGTCAGTAGAGTCTCAGCATCAGTTACAGCTATGACTGAGCTACAATGGCTGACGGTGCAACTAAACCCAAACGACCTCGTTATTATTCCCAAAAACGCCAAGACAAAACTCGAGGCAAAGTGAGGGTCTATATAGGAGATGCTTTTGAACGGTGGAGACGGTTGAAAGTGGAGAAGAATTTGAAATCGGATGTTGAAGTGGCTACTCTTCTCCTCGACAGGTAAGCTGTAGCCAAAGTTGGCTGACTAGCATCATAGCTAGACGGGGATGCACATTTCGAATACTTTCAACTGTTATTCATTTTCGATCATACATTGTAGCCCATGTGCAGGTGGGTCATTGACCCGACTGATTTTTTTGAGAAACAAACGTTAGCAGCACGGCAAGCAGCATTAGCAGTGTCCTGGTACATAGCATTAGCAGCCGGCTCCTCCTCCGCTGTACGGTCGGATGGAAAACAGAAGATCAAAGACGCGACGACGCAGCCCTGCCATGGCAGCCGCCCGTGGGCAAACATATCAGTCTCCAGCGTGCCGCTGTCCAGCAACCTCGAATCTGTAGGGGAGGGGGGACGGACACGACTTGCGGCAGTATTTTGAATTTGAGTGCAATAAGCGTTTTGGCCACATTCTTAGATACAGCGCCTTTAACTGCGGAGCTCTGACTGCTGCACTGTGCCGCTTGAAACTGACAAGGCGTGTGTCTGCGTGCCTAAGATGCGTGTGTCCGCACGCTTACTAGCGGGCACGTCCTGTAGACCTGTGTGAATTTTCCACAGAAATTACCCACAAATGCTATACACCAAGAAATATTATATTATTTATCTATATTTTTATTTATGTTTGCCTTTTTTCCTTATTTATTTTAATACTGTACCTGAAGTTATATTTGAGCAAAAAGGGAAATGTTTCTTAACCTGTGTCACTTTTTTTTTGAAAAAGCTGGTTGCATCTTGGTTAAAATGTTCTAATAAAGCAAAGATAGAAAATATTGCAATATCTTGTGTGCTGTAAAGTGGTTTGAAAAAAAATGAAATCGGAATCGGCTATTCAGACACTCTGCAAATGGGAAATCGGTATCGGCCCAAAAAATTGTAATCGGTGCAAGTCTATTTGCCACTTGCCTTAAAATTTATCAGCAGTAGCCTACTTGCAGATGATCAGTCACACCAGCAGCAGAGGGAGCACAGAGGACAGGAGGAATAACTGATACTCGCTGTTGTCAGTGTGTGCTTCATTCTTTCTAAACTTCACTCAGTGTTGTGATGACAGGAATGCGATTTATTTTTCATTTTAGATTTGTTTCCAGTGAAGTATTATTAGGTTTATATAATGACTTTGCTGTTGTAAACATTTCTGCTGCTGCTCTAGAAAAAACATTTAGTTATATTTAAAATATTCAGTTTTGATCCTGATCTGAATTCAGTATTCAATGATTAAAGAATAATATATTTTTAATAAGCTATTACATAGTAATGAAAACAAAAAACATAAAAAGTATTTATGAGGGGCGTCGGTAGCATAGTGGATAGTGCCGGTGCCCTGTGTACAGAGGCGATGCCTTGCTGCAGCGGTGACTCCGGCTTGCAACCCTTTGCTGTATGCCAACCCCCACTCTCTCTCTCACCCCATTTCAATCTGTCCTGTCCATTAAAGGCAAAAAGCCCCAAGAGAATCGATAAGGAGAACAGAATCGATAAGGAATATCAATGAGAGTAGTATTCCTGTGTCGAGTGTATGGCCATGAAAATTTGCCTCAGTCATGGAAAAGTCATGGAAATTTATTGGTAAAAATGTGTGTGAGCCCTGACAGTGCACACTTCAAGTACTTTTAAGTTATCACAATCAATTACATGTATATGCCTGACAACTGAAAAGCTCTTCAATGCATTAAGAAGGAAAATCCCTGCAATAAGGGTGTTTCTTTATGTTAATTTATTTTCTACAAAACAAGTAAATAGGTCTAAAATAACACACCCTCTCTTTAATCTTTTTGGCCTTGTTGCTGTCTCAAGGGAATGTCTCTGTCCCTCAAAATGAGTAGCCTGTTCTCCAGTGACTGTTGATTCTGTACAGCCTTTGCCTGAGTTACCTGAATGAACGGTATTTCATTCAGTATTTATTTTCATCAGCTGTACAGTTTTTGCACGGATTAGGCAGTTTTGTTGCTTTTTGCAGTGGGGGTGGTGAGTGTGGTTGTCGCTGGTTCTGCACTGCTGTCTATCTCTCCCCCGCCATGTGGATAAACTATACGCGCCATAAACGCACCAGACTTTCAAGCCAATACTTAATCAGTAACGTCACCCCTGTTCAAAATCTAATGGCAGCAGACTCTGGGCTTTTAACTATTCTCGTCCTTCTTGATCGAAGTGCAGCTTTCGATACCATTTCACATAACATCCTCCTAAATCCCTTTCTTACTGCTTACTGGATATTAAGTTTTGGCATACAACTTCCTCAAACTTAACAGTGATAAAACTGAGGTTGCACAGCTTCACTCTAACCATTGATAACTCCAAAGTCCATCCAGTTCTGTAGTCATACCTTCAGTGAACAGCAGTATAGTAGTGCTTATTGTATCACAGCTAATATCATACCACATTGCTTGATTTGAGCCATCCGTTTTATAAACTGACATACCGTGTGTCACATTGCTTCAGTGGGCAATTCAGTAACAAAAATGAACCTATTGCTGTGGGTGGTGACTCATAGCCACCTCTGTTTCAACATATAGGCTTACATCAGTGATCTTTGTCCTGGATGTCTATATCCTCTATGTCCTCCCTTCAGCAATCCAAGGACTGCTTACGTCTGGATGAGACCATGCTGGTCAAACAGCTGCTGCCGGAGATCTGCCATTTCATCCATACGTACCGTGAGGGCCACCAGCATGCCGCTGAACTTCGGGCCTCTGCTTCAGCCGTCCTCTTCTCTCTGAGCTGCAACAACTTCAACGCTGTCTTCAGCCGCATCTCCACCAGGTAGCTCACTTACCCAGTGTGTCACTAGGACAGGCTGGAGCAGCATGTGCTCTTCTTAAGAATGGCTACAAGTTAACATTTCTCTGAAATCTGTGATGATATCTGCTTGACCAGTGGTGTTTACCTCTAATATGATTATGTATATTTGTTGTAAAATATATAAATGCTGCTGAAGATTTACTGTCTTTAAGTCCCACTTTGATGAATTAGGTCCAGAAAAATGTATTAATTTAAAGAAATAACAGTGTAAATGCAAAAAAAAAATTACACTTGAACTTGCAAGTAGTTATTTTATTTGCAAACAAAAAAAAACTAAGAAAATTTCCAAATGGAAATGTACTGAGTTCCTTTCCCAGTGGCCATATTTCACAGGCATTAATTGCTGGTGCCAAACATTACAGAACAGGGGATGTAATGGTAGTATTCAAATCAGACGACAGGCGTCTCATGTAATGTCTTGTCTTTGAGGTTTAATGAAGTAAAACCACCATGACCATATATTGGTTAAATTATCTTGTTGTATTTTGAGGGAATATGTCAATTTCTCCGTTGTAAATATTTGTGCTTTGGTGTGTCTCCTCAGGCTACAGGAGCTGACGGTGTGCTCCGAGGACAATGTGGATGTTCATGACATAGAGCTGATGCAGTATATCAATGTGGACTGCTCCAAGCTGAAGAGGCTGCTACAAGGTTAGCCTCGAATGGTCATACAGCTTTACATTATCTTTGTCAGAACTTATTAACCTCTTCCACTCGACCCCTCCCTCCGATCTTTTCGTAGCTACTAACAAAATCTACTCCTGCTCCTGACCACTCGTAGTGCTTGTGTAAATTTAGTAAAGCACATAAATATTGCTTGTCACTATTGGAAATTACAATTTTAACTCATATTGCGCTCTGTTATGTACACAATACACAGATGCCTTTGAAACACGTAATCTAAACATGACAAAAATATTAAAAATATAACACATTTAGTTAAATTAGTTGGC